GTATAAAGATGTAAATTTAAATTTTTTTAAAATATATATTTTATTGATTTTGTACAGAGAGGAAGGGAGAGATAGAGAGCTAGAAACATTGATGAGAGAGAGAGTCATCGACCAGCTGCCTCTTGCACACCCCCTACTGGGGATATGCCCGCAACCAAGGTACATGCCCTTGACTGGAATCGAACCCGGGACCTTTCAGTCCCCAAGCCGACGCTCTATCCATTGAGCCAAACCTGTCTCGGCTGTAAATTTAATTTTTTTACATATATACTCTGATAATCTAATATAATAAAAGGCTAATTAATATGCAAATTGATCTTAATGGTGGAATGACTGGTCGCTATGACATGCACTGACCACCAGGGAGCAGATGCTCAATGCAGGAGCTGCCCCCTAGTGGTCAGTGCACTCCCACAGGGAGAGTGCCACTCAGCCAGAAGCCGAGCTCACAGCTGGTGAGCGAAGCAGCAGTGGGCAGAGCTAATGATATCTGACTGCTGGCTTAGGCCCATTCCCTGTGGAAAGTGGACCTAAGCCATTAGTCAGACATTCCCCAAAGGTGCCCAGACTGCGAGAAGGCGCAGGCTGGGCTGAGGGCCCCTCCCCACCCATTGCACAATTTTGTGCACTGGCCGTCTAGTTGTTTAATATTGTAAGATACTTGAGTCAACTGAATAGGAGAGATTATATGATTTTAAATTAGTCTAGAGTTTTGTTGAGTGGCATTTTTACTCAGCACAAAATGAAGGAAATTTTAATTAATATAGAAAAAGCTAAATGTGTTGTCTGGTTAAGTTATCACATTAATTTGATAGGAGAATTGTGAGTTGGCCTTATACAAATGCATCTGGTACAAAATTAACCCAAGAAAATCACTTGCATGAAAAGGTGATATGGATCAGTTTTTATGAAGTAAGAATTAACTGATGGCTGTAATTAAGGTTGTTTGGGTCATTATAAAGTGGTTATAGGTTATAATCTAATACAATAAATTTTAAGGTATTATTCTGATCACTTTAGCTCATAATTAGATTATATCATTTGGTGTTTTAAGTATCTGCTACTATTTATATCTGTGCTTCCCAAATTGTGGGACGTGCCCTAGGGCATTGCAGCAAATTCAGAGGAGTGCCGTGGGATATTTTAAAATTTCAATGGCAACATGGACAGTTGCAAACCACTAGCTGGAGGGAGTTCACAATTTCAACGTAAATTGTGCTGCTTCCCTTATATGGTATCTTCAGGAAGTTGGATTCTCAGCTGATGTGTAAAAATGTGAAAGTCAAGGTGGGTCAGGAAATGAGGTTTGAGTTCCATCATATGGTTTGAGTATTTGTGCAGAGCTCAGTAGAACATAATTATATACAATTAGTATGTGTATTCTATTAAACTATTACTATAATAAATGTTAACATAATATTTCTTTTAGAAAATGTGGTGGCTTGCACATATGTTTTTTCTTGTCTTCATAGTTTAAATAATATTATTAAAGTACTTAATTTTCAGAACAGGTTTTAAAAATCAAAAGCATAAAAATGAAGACTGAGGAGTCCCCCGTCTGGGTTGATGGCAGCTCCCTCTGATTGCTCAGGCCAATACTTCTGAGCAGGATTTGGCTCCTGTCTTTCTCCCACAACACATTGAGGACCACTGGAAATCATGCTGCTCTGCTTTCAAAATATGTGGTCACTCTAGTCAAAGCAGACCGTTGTTACGGCTACTTCTGCACTTGTGCTTCACCCACCCCAAACTCTCCCCACCCAGTACAGTAGTCTTTTGAAACCTAAGTTAGTTAAGTGATATTATCACTCTACCACCCAGAACATTGCATTCGCCTAGAGTAAAAGCCTGAGTCCTTTCAGTGATCTCCAGAGTTCTATAGGCCCAGCTTCCCTTTACTTCTCTGATCTCAGTTCTTCCTATTCCACACGTAATCTGCTAAAGCCAGGCTGGTCCCCTCTTCCCGAGCATACCATGCACATCCCCAGAACATTTGCACTGGAACGCTCAATCCCTTATCTCTATCAAACCTTGGCCCACAATACACACACACACACACACACACACACACTAGAGACCCAGTGCATGATATTTGTGCTTGGAGGGGGTGTTCCTCAGCTCAGCCTGCACCCTCTCCAATCTGGGATCCCTCGAGGGATGTCTGACTGCCAGTTTAGGCCTGATCCTAGGGTAGTTGGACATCCCTTTGATAATCCAGGACTACTGTCTCCCAACTGCTCACCTGCCTGCCTTCCTGATTGCCCCTAACCACTTCTGCCTGCCAACTTGATCACCCCCAAATCACTCTCCTGCCAGCCTGATTGATGCCTAACTGCTCCCCTGCCAGCCTGTTTGCCCTCAACTGCCCTTCCTTGTAGGCCTGGTCCCTCCCATCTTGAGATGGCCATGTTGTGTCCACATGGGGGCAGGATCTTTGATCACATGGGGGCAGCCATCTTGTGTGTTGGAGTGATGGTCAATCTGCATCTTACTCTTTTATTAGATAGGATAGAGGCCTGGTGCATGGGTAGGGGCCAGCTGGTTTGCCTGAAGGGTGTCCTGGATCAGGGTAGGGGCTCCCTTGGGGTGTGGGGTGGCCTAGGCGAGGGGCTTGTGATTGTTTGCAGGCCAGCCATGCCCCCCGCCCCCCCCAACCCCCCCCCCCTCCCGTGACCCAAGCAAAGGCCCTGGTACCTGGAATTTATTTACCTTCTACAATTGAAACTTTGTAGCCTGGAGCAGAGCCAAGCCTTCTGTTAGATCTGTGGCAGCAGCCATTTCTGTTGGGATTTATTTATGTTCTATAATTGAAACTTTGTAACCTTAAGCGGAAGCCTGGGTCGGCCAGCATGTGCAGAAAGCTTGGCTTCCTTCATCGCCAGGAAAACCCAAGCCTCCCTCCTGCTCTCTCCGTGGCTGCAGCCATCTTGGTTGGGTTAATTTGCATACCCACTCCTGATTGGCTGGTGGGTGTAGCAGAGTGATGGTTAATTTGCATATTACTTTTTTTTTAATTAAATAGGATATATATGTATTTCTAACATTGTAGATAATTTACTACCCACATTGTAATTTACTAAGTTTATTGTTTTATTTTCTGACTCTCCCTGCTACAATATAAGTTCTAGGAGAACAGGCACATTAATGTGTTTTGTTCAACAACCTATCCAAAGCAATTAGATAAACACTTGGCAGTAATAGGTGTGTAGTAAATACTGAATGAATAATATTCAATTTATTTTTTTTGTCTATTTGAACTATCAAAGCATATTCAAATCTTTCTCTTTAACAATGGATTGTCCATTATCTCAGAGGTCTGAAGAGTTTTTGCTTTATACTTTCAAGCTAATAAGATACTTATAAAATATGAATTTTATCTTTCTGGCTAATTGAACATTTTATCATTATGTACAGACCTTCTTTAGTCTTAACAATGCTTCTATCTTAAAGTTATTTATCTAATATCAGTAAAGGTAAACTAGATTTCAATAATTTTAGTACTAGTTAATATATATTTTTGTTCCTTTTAATCTTTTTGAGTTCTTATGTTTTAGTTATGTCTCTCACATGTAGTGTATAATTGTTTTTATTTCATTTTAACTATCTTTATTTTAACTTCTAGCCTACTTTTGCCTATTGTGATTATGTATAGATCCAGATTTGTTTCTTTCATTTACTTTCTGTTTATCCTACTTTTGCAGCACTTATTTTTTTCTTCTTGTGTGTGTGTGTGTTTTTTTTATGAGTTTTATTTGTATTCTTACTGTTTGTTTTTATCCACAAGCGTAGAGGTTATATACTCTGTTTCTATTCTTTTAATGTTTAGAATTGTACCTTCATTCTTAGTCTGAAGTTATCATCTTAACTCTCCTCCTGAACAATACAGGAGCACTGCAACTCCAACCACCCGCTTCCAGCATTGCTTTCCAGTGCTTATATCCGTCCTTGTAACCTAGTGAATGAAGTATTACTGCTTCATATAGGCAATGTTTATTTACATTTCTCCACACATTTACCTTATTTATTTGCTTACTATTCTTTTTGTATATCAGATCTTCCACACACTTTTTTCCTAAAGTATATGTCCTTAGTCTCTAAATTATGTTTCTAAATTAGTTTCTTTAAATTCGTCACTTGTCAGTTTTTGTTTGTAAAAAGGCTTTAGTTTGCTTTTTTATTTTTTTTGAAAGATGGTTTTGATTTGATGGATACACATGCACTATCTATGTATCCTTTTTTATTTTTTTTTATTTTAGAAAGGGAGGGAAGGCAAAGGAGAGAGAGCGAGAGAAACATCAATATGAGAGAGATACATTGACCAGTTGTCTCCTGCATGCACACTACCGGACATTGAACCTGCAACTTGGGTATGTGCCCTGACCGGATGAACCTGCGGCCTTGCAGTGTACAGGACACACTCCAACCAATTGAACCACAACGGCCAGAGCTCTGTCTATCTTTCATGTGTAATTTTCCTCACACAAGGAAGCGATGAACTCCATTCTGATCCTGTCTACCTGGGGACAGCATCAGATCCCCCAGGTTTAGGGCTCGTCCCATGGACTGCTCCCTTTTCAGAGGCCAACTGCAAGGGCAGGTGGTCACTGGTGCTCCTCACCGACTGGCTATCTATTGAATGTTCCCAAGGCTGTCTCCTCAGGTTCCATTTGCCAGGGCAGCTCCTGGAGAACGTTTACTTATATTTACCAGTTTGTCATGAAGCATGTTATAAAGAACCCAGATGAAGCGGTGTGGAGGGCAAGGCCCAGAAGGATTCAGAGGGCAGGCGCTTCTATCCCCTAGCTCCGGGCTGCACCACCCTTCTGGCATGGGAATGCCTTCCCCCACCCGGGAGCTCCTCAGCTCTTGTTGTTCGGGAGTTTTTATCGCGCTTAATCTGCTGCGGTGTCCACCTCCCCATCCAGTGGGGGAGCTGAAAGTTCCACACGCTTCCCCACCAGTTAGTAGTAACCTGTGCCGTTTACTTTATGTTTTTCCAGATCAATGAACTGAGCCATGTTCAAATCCCCGTTATGTTGATGCCAGATGACTTCAAAGCCTATTCAAAAATAAAGGTGGACAATCACCTTTTTAACAAGTAAGTACAAGCACGAACTTTTCCAGAACCGATGTTGGCTGCCAGGAGTATGATTTCTGTGAATTCTTTAATCACATTTTTCAATGGGTGGGTGTAAAGTTTTTCTGATGAAGTTAATCCTGTGATAAACAGAACCATCTGTCATTTTCACAAAAGCAACAGCAGGCCTCTTGGGTAATATCCTTTTGCCATATGGCATATTGTTCTCTATGAATAGCTTATATGTTAAAAGTGATATTCTCATTACACTTCAGATGTTTCAAGCTGTAAATTGCTTGGATTTTTTTTTTTTTTTAAGCTATTTTTCAGCTATCTTACACAAAACCCTCACAATGATTACTTTATGAACGGAAATGATGACTTCGATGAACAATAAAGAATTAAGGTGCATTTTTATAGAACATAATTGGACAGCATGTTGGGTATTGAGACTATTTCTCCTTCATTGGAATGTCATTTTATTTTATGTTATTTTTATTTTTTTAAAATATATTTTTATTGATTCCAGATAGGAAGAGAGAGGGAGAGGAAGATAGAAATATCAGTGATGAGAGAGAATCATTGATCTGCTGCCTCGTGCATGCCCCACACTGGGGATTGAGCCCACAACCTGGGCATGTGCTCTTACCAGGAATCAGCCCCCTGGTTCATAGGTCAACGCTCAACCACTGAGCCACATTGGCCAGGTGGGATGTCATTTTAGATGTCACTCTGGAGCCCATTATATGTTAGGCAGTTCAGAGCTGGAGCTACAAGAATTTATAAGAAACAGCCCTTCCCTCAAGGGGCTGACAGTCAGGTGGGTGGTTGAAAACTGACATATATACAAATTACATACTATAAGTTGGTGTGCAGAGAACCACAACAGAGGAATGTGTGAACACAAAGAAAGAGCCAATTTTCTGAATGAGTGGTATAAACTTTAAATCCTACTCAAAAGATTAGTTCTGAAATTTCTTCCTGGGGCCATTGTGCTACTGAGAAGCTCAGGGGTTAATTCTTCCCATAATACTGTTTAGAGCTAACCTTTGAGAGAATTTTCTATGTGAATTCAAGGTGTGGTCTTTATATAAAACTAGAGGCCCAGTGCATGAAAATTCGTGCACTCGAGGGGAGGGGTGTCCCTCAGCCCGGCCTGCACCCTCTCACAGTCCGGGAGCCCTTGAGGGGTGTCCACCTGCTGGCTTAGGCCCGCTCCCCGGGAGATTGGGCCGACGCTGTTAGTCGGACATCCTTAGCGCTGTTGCAGAGGCAGGAGAGGCTCCCACCACTGCTGCTGACTGCTGGCTGAGCAGTGCTCCCCCTGTAGAAGCGCACTGATCACCAAGGGGCAGCTCCTGCTTTGAGCGCCTGCCCCTTGGTGGTCAGTGCATGTCATAGCGACCGGTTGTTCCACTGTTAAGGTCAATTTGCATATTACCCTTTTATTATATAGGATAGGTTATTCAGCGAGTGAGAGAGGTCTTGTTTTGAAAGTTTGCATCCACTTCTGACTGAGGATGATGTGGCTTGCTCCATGCCCTTCCCTCTGTCCACATTCTTAGTTTCTCTTCACCATGTTCTGCAGCCTCCTCTTCCTTGAGGAAGCAGCTGGAGCATGTGGTCAGGATTAAAAGGTCATAGAGGTCACGTGCTCCTAGGTGGTGAGAGGACACAAATGTTATCGGTCTGACCTTCGGCCCTCGGTCTTACTGTGGCTTGTACTGTTGAGCCTTGAACAACAGGTGCACTTCCATGTAGATAAAAAAAATAAATATGGGCTGAAACCGGTTTGGTTTAGTGGATAGAGCGTTGGCCTGCGGACTGAAAGGTCCCAGGTTCGATTCCGGTCAAGGGCATGTACCTTGGTTGCGGGCACATCCCCAGTGGGGGGCGTGCAGGAGGCAGCTGATCGATGACTCTCTCTCATCGATGTTTCTAGCTCTGTATCTCTCTCCCTTCCTCTCTGTGAAAAATCAATAAAAAAAATAAATAAATAAATAAATAAATAAAGTTCATACTGCAAATGTATTTCTCTTCCTTATAATTTTAATAACATCTTCTTTTCTCTGGCTTACATTTTGTGTGTAAAAATACACTATATAATAGACATGAAATATAAAATACGTGTGAATTGACTGACTGTGTTATTGGTAGTAAGGCTATTTGTTGAGTTTTGGGGGAGTCAGAAGTGACACGTGACTTTTCAGCTGTATGGGGGTCAGCCCCCCTAACCGCATGCTGTTCCAGGGCCCACTGTGGTTCTGGGAGGGGAATTTTAGGCACGGCCTTGGCTGCTCATGGAACTGGCTGGTGGGAGATTCAAGTCTGGTTAACTCCGTGTATCTGAGCTTTCTCTCACCACACGCTGTTTCAGAGAAAACATGCCGAGCCATTTCAAGTTTAAGGAATACTGCCCGATGGTCTTCCGAAACCTGCGGGAGAGGTTTGGCATCGACGACCCAGACTTCCAGGTGAGTTGCTCTGGTAACTTTGCTTCAAACAGGCTTCGTGGCTCCACGCTCTGTAAAATAGGACTGAGTTTTTATCATGACAAGGAATTATACAATAGTAACTTTTAGTTTATATATTAACTTAAGTTCAATGATTTTTTTTTTTCTGACACAAAGGGTTCTTTGAGTTAGGAAGCCCTGTATGATATATTTTCAGTAGTCGGTAGGAAAGGAAATTATTCTTTGAGGAGAGAACAGGCACGTGAGGGTCTGACACAGGCTCTCGTTTCCAGAGGAAAGGGTCCTGCCAGCAGAAGCTCCTCATCTCTGCCATCACATGTGTCACCAGCCTGGGCATGTGTGCATGTGCGCATTGATTCGCATTTCCTACACGGGTAGAGGCCGCTCGGGAATTGAGAAATGTTTTCTTGTTTGTGCTGAGTCGCTGCTTTCCCCATTGGCCAGTGCTGCCTCTAGCCCACAGCATTCTTGTCAGAGGCCACACTTGGAGCATCGCCCGCAGCACGGCACCGTGCCCGCACACCGCTGTTCCCGCACGACGCAGGGGAACACGCCCTTCGCTCTTCGTGCCCCCACACGCAAAAGCGCACTGCTGCTTTTCTCCCCGTACTTGCCTGGCTCTCATGTTGTTGTCATTTCTGCTGACCCGTGGTCATCTGTCCTAACGCTGTGCCAGCTGGATTCGGGAAAGCCAAGGACTTTCTGCAGGAGCAGAAGTCTACGTTAGGAGATGCAAGGGTTACTTCCTGGTCTTCTATGACAGTCTGTTCATTGTACTGTGAGCGGACTGACTTATTTAAATCCTTTAAGTCTAGCAGTCACTTCCTCTCATTTGCCCTAAGTGGGAAAGCCTAGTGTATCCTGCATTGAGTGCCATATTGCCACCCTGGATGACCTTCCAAGTTAGCACAGCTTACTCTGTATTTGCCCTTGAAGAATCTGGCCTCTGAGGCAATTCGAACTGAGTTACCTAAAGCGTTGTGGGCCTCCCCACCCTGCCCTGCCCTTTTCTCTCTCACTCGCTCACTCAGCACGAGCTGCCGTGCTGAGGAAAAGCAGTGCTTACGGCCGCAGGTGGCCCAGGGCTGTGTGTCCTGAGCAGAGGCTCGGTTCGCCCCGGAGGGCCGAGGGGAGGTGACAGGAGGATGTGGGCACTTGGTTTGCTTTGAAAAACTTCAGTGGAGCCAACAACGCTCAGGTTTGACCTTCATGTGTTAAGAGAAAGAACTTAGATCAAACTTAGACTTGAAATTTACTGCTGAAAAAATAAGTCACTTTCAAAGAATAAATTTGGAATAGTAAAAAGGGTTTGTATGAAATAAAAAGGAATAATTCCACATTATTGAAGAACTGTCACTACATCTAGAGAGGCCATCTGAAAATAAACCGAGCACTTTAAAAAGCAGTGGCCAGCTGGTAACCGAGCTCTCCCATGGGACTCGCAGGTGTGTTCTCCCTTTGCCCCCTCCTTTTTTTTTTTTAAATAAGAAACAAAAACAACACAAAACAAAAGAACAGTTATACTCGCATTTCACAGAAACTAACTTTTGAGGGCCTCAGCAACAAGATCTTGTTAGATCCCTTAATTCATTACCAAAATGAAGTCTTTATATTTCTTTTCCGAATCAGTCCTGCTAAATGAGATCCAAAATGGGCCCATTACACCCTGAGTTCTGACTGCAGCAGATAAAAGTAACTTTTTGAAATTTCCTAAAATTACCAATTTAGTTATTGAAATACTAAGGAATGAGCAATTTTTCTTCCCTTCCCCCCACCCCCTGAAAAAAAACCAAAACCATGTAAGCTGATAGTTAAGTAAGTGCAAATTGCTGAGTACAAACTTTAGGCAAGCAGAGGGTGATTCACACTAACTAATTGGCAAAGTCTGTTAAGCTCGTAGAATGAGAGCGGGCAGAGGAGAGCCAGTGGGAGGATCATCTGAACACCACTCCTTTCCTCGGCTGTGCCTGGTGCTTTTGGCATTTAAATTGCTGCTTTCTCTTTGGCAACTGTATTTTTTTTTATTATTATACTTTATTGATTTTTTACAGAGAGGAAGGGAGAGAGACAGAGTTAGAAACATGGATGAGAGAGAAACATTGATCAGCTGCCTCCTGCATGCCCCCTACTGGGAATGTGCCTGCAACCAAGGTACATGCCCTTGACCGAAATCGAACCCTTGACCCTTCAGTCCGCAGGCCGACACTCTATCCACTGAGCCAAACCGGTTTCAGCTGTATTTTTATTAAGGAAAAAAAACAACAACACGCTGGGTGTTCAAAGTATCTTTAGTAAAACCAAAGATATACTGGTTCCCTCCCCAATCCTGTGTTCCTTTTCCAATATCTGCACCTCTTAAAAATTTGTCTGCAGTAGAGTGCAACACACTTTGTTGGCTACTTGATCTGGAAAAAAGGAAGAGGTTGTGCCAACACTGGCTGTGGCTGTGTGTCCGAGGGCCCTGCACGGGGCAGGAGTGAAGGTGACAGAGGCACTAGGCTGTGACCAGAGGGGCCCACCATCCCAGCTGCTTGGCACTGGACTCTCTGTGGGCCAGACATCTCATTCATCGTGGCCAGAACTAGTAACAGGCCTCAGGTGATACATGTAGGACCAAATTCCCAATTTGGTTTGAAAAATGGGATCAGGGACCTGGGGTCTCAGCACCTATGGGAGGCGCTGCTGATGGGGCCAGGCTTCCGCTGCCTCTGCCTTGCCAAGTTTGTCTTTCTGAAGCGCTGCCGATAGCAGGTTTCAATAAAGATGGCCACAAGGAGCTCCCTTATCTGGTTCATTTAGTGTTCAGACCTCCCTGGTAAAGCTGATGAATAAATGTTCTTGATCTGCTCTGTGTGTGGGAATGCCTTTTTCCTGCACCTGAAAAAGCCATTATTGATCATTTTGATAAAAGCAGAACCTAGTAATTAGCCTACCTCATCGACCTCTTATCAGTGGACTTAAAGTAATTAAAAAGCATTCTTGCTGCCCCCATTAACATGTGTATCTTTCCTCCGGCTTTGACATTTTTCCTGTCTTTTAAAAAGAAAACTTTGTTTTCTTGCTTTTAGAGACTAATTCAAGCAACAGTTCTAGAATACTCATCATTAGTAACAGTATCACTTAACATATTATGTGAACCTGTGTGTGTGTTTGCATGTGTTCAGTGCTCCAGATTCAGAACTTCGTTCAAATTATTAGTGCTTCACAAAGTTTTTTCATTGGTTTGTAATATGCTCAACGTTGAATTGTGTTCTTCTGATCATTGTTGGGCCAATGCGACTCCCCCTCACCATGCTTTTAAGATAAGATCTTTCCAAATGACTGCTTCCCGGGAGGCCTCCCCTGTTACTGCCTCCTCAATGCTGTGTCTGCCCTCACCATTGCCTCCGTAAGCTCTAGTCCCCTTACGTGATTTCATGCACAATTATCAACTCAGTGTGTGTTTATTTGTGGGACTACATGTCAGGCTCTGCTAGATGTTGTAGGAAATGCAGAAGGGAAGAAAGGGTGAAGGAATTCTTTTTTCTTTTTTGTTAACTCTTATATGCCAGATTCCAAATTAGATGCTAATAAGATTTACAGAAACCCAGACATCCTATTAATGTTTTTTAAGAAAATTTGCTTTCTGCCGAAGCCAGTTTGGCTCAGTGGTAGAGCATCAGTCTACGGACTGAAAGGTCCCAGGTTCGATTCCGGTCAAGGGCATGTACATTGGTTGTGGGCACATCCCCAGTAGGGGGTGTGCAAGAGGCAGCTGGTCAATGTTTCTCTCTCATCAACGTTTCTAGCTTTCTATCTCTTTCCCTTCCTCCCCTCCGAGAAATATCAATAAAAAAAAAATTTTTTTTTTAAATCTGCTTTCTTGCCTCTCAGAGAATCAAACCCCTTATAACAGTTCTAGGAAGTTAAATGTGGGCTTCAGTTAAAGTTTCTAAACTATCGGAGAGAATGCCCACCAGAACCCAAAACGTTATACAAGATGGAGATGAATTAAACCTAAATGCATTGGAAATGGAGCCTTCGTATTCTTTGTAGAGGATAATATCAGGTTTACTTTTCCCCACTGCATCTCCTGAATAAGACTCCTCATTACTGCCCTGGCCCATGTGGCTCAGTTGGCTGTGGGTTCGATCCCCCGTGGAAGTGTGTGCAGGAGGCAACCAATCTCTCTCTCTCTCTCTCTCTCTCTCTCTCTCTCTCTCTCTCTCTCTCTCTCATTTCCCCTCTCTCTAAAAAAATAAAAATTAAAAATCAATAAACATATCCTTGGGTGAGGATTAAAAAAGAATCCCTTGTTTTTTATATTTGTAACAGAAAATTTTAATTTTAAAGTAATTTTAAGAGGTAAAGTTTTAGTCTGTTGATGCTCTTGTTTCAGGTTTAAAAATACAATTCTAAAATGTCAAGGCCTTCTGAATATACTAACTATTGGAAAAAAAATTCTGTCAGTACCTCTATAATATAAAGTCTATCACCATGTTTTTCAATACAGCTTTCCCAAATATAAGTTAAACTGTCTGAGGACAGGATTGAGTCCAGCTGGGTTATGGGCTGCAGGCCCAGAGGAGGTGGGTCTGGGCACCGGGGTAAGTGCTTTGGGCAGACATTAGGAAGCCCTCGTGGAAGAACGGGATGAGGGCTGCCGTGGGCACACTAAGGGGAGGGAGCTTTCTGGGCCAAAACAGGGAGGCCACGATGCTCGGGAAAATGAAGCGATGGGTGGTGGTGGATTGTGGAGAGAAAGAGGGAAGAGTAGGGAATGTGGAAACTGGCCAAAGACCTCAACCAGCTTCTAAAGCGTGTGAGCAGTCCTGCGGGTTTACACAGGGCAGCGCTGTGATGCCATCTGGGTTTTCTATGAAGATCATTGTGGTGGGCCCCGGCAGTGTGGCTCAGCGGGAGCATCGTCCCAGGCAGCAGAAAGTCAAGGGTTTGATTGCTAGTCAGGGCGCATACCTAGGTTGCAGGCGACAACTGACTGATGTATCTCTCTCACATCA